AGGACTGGTAGTAGAATTTTCCCACAATGATATGAGTTGAGCTGACGTTTCCATTGAATTTCACATAGCTATACTTTCCCAAAAGTTGTTCTCATCCAGTAGCTTGACACGCTGTCATTCTCACACCAAACTACAACTCGCGAGTTATGTCCGCTGCCAAATACCACTTTTATTCCAGCCAAGTTACTACATCGTCGTCCAAATAGAGTTGTGCTATTCTCATTTCACTAGGAATGGACTGTAGTTTCAATCTCATCTGAATTTCGTCAGCAAAGAATACCTTTTTGAAAGCAAGTTTGCGTGAATTTGAATGGCATTTCAAAACCTATTCACTCACTATCAGTCTTTCATCACTTAATGCAACCTAAACTGATTAGAACTCATATTTAAGACTTACTGCTAGTCTCGTAAACCTTCTTTCCCCGAAAATGAGTATGGCTCAACTCAGGGATTTACCTTAACCCAGTAATCTAGATAACTACCAAAGCTCCGGAAGAAGAAACAGTTTAAATCGAAGCTGTGCCAATTTCAACTTGATTCCTATTGGATAAACAGCTATTCTATAAACAGTATGACTGGATTACGAAGTGTAGTCTGAGATCTAAAAAACATGGTGACTATTTTCGTGTATAAGCGCCTGATGAAACAGTGCATGGGTCACGCTGCTTACAAGACGTCTTCTGATATCTGTTGTTTTGAAACCATTTGATTTTACCATAAAGTTCAGGTTGCCACCTACGATGAGACGTCCTCCTTCAGTTTGAGGAAAAATGGGACAATCTTTCGTCTGTCACGCCACAGGATAAATCAACCTCATAAATAAATCTCATTCTAATAAAAACCGCAGGTGACAGTAAGTTAAGAAGTTTATATGGCTCTGACTTAATGTTGCTATATCACTTCACAACTACACACAGGCATACATACATAGATGAATGCATAGATTGACACTAAAAAAACTTTCAAGACTACCACTACCACACCCAATTTCGTTTAAGGTGATTAATATATTTCATATTACTGATTTACTGGTAGTCTCGAAACTCTACTTAAATACGAAAAATAAGTAACGTAGTCGATTGTTATAGCAAATATACGTTTGGTTGATCGACAATCCCACCAAAGAAAGGGATATGGCAAAATGCCTGGCCTTTCTTAAAATTCACATTTGCCCTGTGACACAAGGGCCCTCGTGGCAAGGTGGTCGAGTCGTTGATGTGTCAAGCTCACATTCGGTTCGACTCGACGGTTCGACTCCCCCTGGAGGTGTTGATAAGACCGAGGCGAGGTCGAAACTGCAGTCCACTGGTGCTTGGATGAGAACAACCTTTGGGAAAGCAAGGATATGTGAAATTCAATGGAAAAGTCAGCTCAACTCATATCATTGTATGAAAATTCTACTACCAGTCCTTCATCACTTTATATGAAATTGGATGAATATATCTCATATTATAAAAGGACTAACCAAATAATTGTATAGATGCGAAGAGAAACTGGGTTTCAATGAATCTCCTGAAATAATATTGTTGGGGAGACTTTAATTTCATATGAAATCGTATGAAGAATAGATTCGAAGGTTGATCCACCCAAAACACGACAGCTGATTCCCCTTTAATTGCAGCCAATTGACTTTAATACGACATTTAGGTTGATGCCGTCCACGAGCATCCTTCCTCGCATCAAGTTGTAACGGACTGAGCTTTCGTCCATCATATGATGGACATCATCAGAGCTGGAACTCATTCTTGTAACATGTTAACACTAACTCAGGAAGACTACCCAACTCTATCTTACCTCTTATATATGCTCATAACTAAAGACGAAAATAAATAGACATTGATAGATATATGATGGTTTTGCAAATTATTTTGCATACTGGTCCTGCTACATTTGCTCTAACGCGCGTGCATGTGTGTGTATGTGTCCATGTGTGTGGGTGTGTGGGTGTGTGTGTGTGTGTTAGCGTCTATACGCAATACCAGTCCTAAATCAGAATTATCAAAAGGCTAATGTCAGGCTCTGATCATCAAGGCCTAATGACCCAAGAGAAGGCCATGACCGAGATTACGTAAGTCCGTAAGCGAGTATGGTTGAGATAATGAGATGTAAACTTGTAAGTGTGTAAGTCAAGTAAACGAAACCACCTGTCATAACCTCTCAGTTTAGGGTGATTAACGTTTGACCACCCAAG